TAGGGGATTTACAGCAAAGACTGGAAAAAAGAAAAAGGAGCGTTGGGGAATCAGTTGAAAACTGCAAAACTTTCCTTGGAATATGAAGAATTGGAAAAAAAAAACCAAAAATTTACTGGAAAACTGAGAAAAATACATGCAGTGTATCAGGAGATTTCAAACAGTGTTGAAAACATTGCACTGCTAATAAGGAGGGAAATTGTTACTGGAGTTTATAAGAATTGTCAACTTTGTGTTGTCTCAGTCAAGTTGTTTTGTCTGGTTTAAAGTGTGACCAGCTGGTGCAGTACGATACTTTTCTTTCAGTTGCTGTCTTAAAAAGAAAATTAGAAACTAAATTAGTGATGCTATTTTACGAGAGAAAAGCGAACCCAACAAGGAAATATTTGAGTTAGTGTTTTAAGACATTAAATTAAAATTCAAACAGGCGTTAGCGAAAGACAACTCTTTGACATGTTTCTCTGACAAGCTACGTGTGGCTTTGTTTATTTGTGGCATGTAAAAATAAATGTCCTTTTGTTCCAGTGTGAAAATACTCTCTATATATCAATATTTCTACATTGTACCTGAAGACAAAAGTTTTCAATTAAGTAGGCTTGAATCTCTTGGGGGAGTCGATTAAACAAAAAAGCCTTCCCACAATTTTGTATAATAATGTTCAGAAATCATTTGAGCTTCAGCTTCGCGACTCGGTTGAATTCTTTCCATAGGGAAATTATATTTAAGCTAGTTTCAAATATCGGTACCACTTTTAGCGAAAACCATCCCTTACACCGTAATTTATGTTGTTAGTACATGTGGTTTTGTTTTATTTTTGTCATATAAAAAATTCCTTTGTTCCAAAGTGAAAATATGCAAACATATAACTCTATATATCAATATTTCTACTCTGGTTGTATCTGTAGACAATAGATGGTATTCAATTAAGTATGCTTGTCGATTTACGAGCGGAGAACGTACCAGGGGTTAACGAAAACAAACGTTGATTACGAGTTAAAAGTGAAATGTTTAATGATGGAACGCGAATACAGCCTTGCCAAGTTCAACCCTACATGATTCGTAATGAAATCATCATTGCTTCAAATTTTATGTCGATACTGATTTTAACGAAAACAACATATATTGAAATCAACCTCGTCTCACCGCATACAGTTTTGAATTAATATTGCTGTGTTTTAATAACTTATGAATATAAATTTTCTTTGTTCCAATGAGGAAATATGCAACCGAAAACAACTCTATATATCAATATTTCTACTCTAGTTATCTACAGTCAATATTCCTTCATTTAAGCTGGCTTGTGTCTCTCAAAGAAGTTAAAACCATATAAAATGCTGGCATTTAAATAAAGACAAAAAATAAAGATAGGAACATGAATTCGTAGCAATGCAGTTTAAATCTGTTCTCTGCAAAATCGTTCTAAAAGTACCCTACCAAGCTGCTCTGTTTCTTTCACGTTGGTTATACCATATATACACCACACTATGAAATTGAAATGCATGCCGTTTCATTCTATCGGCCAAACAGTTGCAAACATTGATGATATTTTTAAAAATGCTCGGATGGTTCAGCCGTGCAAGACTATTTTAAAACCGAATCAACTCGATGCCTTGGTAACATAAAACTGTTCCTTTTCGCCTCTATATCTTACATGAAATCATACATCGAGATTAATGTTGTTTGTTGCAAGCGCGCTCACAGAGTGTAGATCGATCTCGATCATCCAGTTTATCTTTATATCTCAGTTCAAGTAATCGCATGTTAGCGAGTGCTTTATTTGCTTTATTCTTTGCTGCTTCAGTTAGGTGTTTTATGCGGTTTCGTGTTTTGGAGGGGAGGAGATTTACTTAAGCAGCCATATAAAGACAACGAAGGTAGATTTTGAAATAATGGGTGGAGCTATCAAATCGTATCAAGTTCATCAAGGATTCAAACTATGGTTTGAAGCAATGTTGAGGATAGAAATGATCCGTTCTTTTGCGTAAAATAAGTCTACCATGTAACAAAAATTAAAATCCAAATTTAATAATAATAACTTTATTTTTCATTTAATTTACTCGTACATTTACAGTTATTTTTATATATATATCCGTGAAATGTAAAGACAAAGAAAAAAAAATGTACTTTATGAGTCATGTGAGTCTGGAGACTGAAGTAACCAAAGGTTTTCTAGTCAGCCTCCAGTTATTATGTTTCTATGGAGATTTAAGGGATTAGAAATAGCACTTGATATAAATGTAATTTCCACACAATTATTTTCTTATTCGGTATATCCTCCACTTCAACTTAAAAGTTCACCTTCTCCGAACTTTTAAAAACTCTTAAAAGTTCACCTTCTGCGAACTCCACACTACGCGGGAGAAATTTGAAAACGGAGGTTTCAAGCTCTGGAAACGCATCAAATGTTTTCCGTTCACACTACGCCGGAGGAATTTAAAAACGCAACAATCGCCGGTCATTTAATTTTGGATTTGTGATTGAAAAAATCTTGGACAGGGAAGTCACGTGATTAT